ATATATGTGTATGTATATATAATTTTATGTGATCTTGGATGTCGTGTTGAGCTGAGTCCCAATGCTTCTGGTGGACCCCGTAAGCTTATTATTTGTTTTGCTGCCGTGAGAATAGGGAGCCAATAGAATAAAGATTGGACTCAAAGGGTATGCATCACGAAGCACAAGAAATAATGAGCATAAAATATGCTTAATTAGAATAACGGTGGCATTTCACAAGTAAATTAAATAATGAAAGTTGAATGATGTGCACAAATGATAAATGTTGCCAGGTAAAGTTGAAGGTCTGTGCTCAAGGCCGTTAGATTTTATTTGTCTGTTGAATTCAAGACTGTCCAGTCTAAAAAATATAATGGTGAAGGGAGAGAGAGAGAGTGAGGACGAGGAGATCAGTAGCATATTGTTGAACATTAAATTTGTGTAATCTTTATTAATGAAATGAATCCCTTATTAATAGGATTAGAGGGTTGTACAACTGCATATTATACCCCTAGTATACATAGGTATAGCGGGAGTGTTTGTCTGCACATAAATCCCACCCGAGAGGGCCCACAAACATCGGGTCAGAAGGGGCTAGGTAGCCGTTAGGACAGGCGACCACTGGGCCAGGTGGTCATTCAGTGGGGCGGCTGCTTGCTGAGGACCGGTGCCAACTGCTTTGGAACTGGATGGTCTGTTTCACCCATTCATTTCGTCCAGGGAGGAGGATGCTTGATTAATTCGCATGAGTCTGGACAAATAGATTCTTTAGGAGTTGATCTACTCTCATAGGCTTGGGAAGTGTTATCCTCCCGGTACGCGAGAGCAAGCCGGCTAGCCGTGTTGTTCTGGATCATCTTTGGAGTGCCTCACAATGCCACATCATCTCTTCCATCGATCGTGATTTATCTTTGAGATTCGTGCTGACACATTTTTATTATAAATATTAAAGTTGTATGATTCTCTTGTTCCTTGATTGCGGCAATTACAATGAAATCTAGATTTTTAAAATAAGCTTGTGGTATTCATGACTACTTAATGCACAATAATTAGCTATTTCTTGGTTTATGTGCTAAGACCATTATAAATAATAAAAATAAATGGAGGCACTCATTTTTTAAGCATTTTTTTTTACATTGATCTTTCCTCTTCTCAACGGTGTCGAAATATAGAGGGTGGACGACCTTCCAAATCCATTAGCAGAGAGGCCCATGCTTTTGGTGTTTCAGGCCATGAAGAAGAGGGTCAAGAGAACTTCTAAGGTCGAACCATCTGGTAAACGGGTCGTGCCTAAGTCGAAAGCTTCTGAATCGATGGATGAAATAGGATCACCTGAATTGCACAATGAGCGTCATGTAAGGGGATCCTGGATGACAGAAGGAGATTTATCGATAAAGAAGCATTGCACGATGGCAAAAACCTATTCAGAAAGTGGTTGGGTTGAGTAATCGATGAACCCTTTGATGTCTCCCAAGCGTGCGGGAAGATTGGATCAAGCACCGGCCTTTGATCCGATAATTCCCTTGATGGACCCCAAGTCTGACTCTCGTCCTCCATCAGTGGAGCGAGAGATAGGAGGAGAAGCATCCTCCTTCAGTACTTCTGATCTGGATCAAATGTTAGATTGCTCTTTGGGCGAGGGTATGACGACCCCATGTCATGCTGGTCATGGAGCCATCCAGGCTGGCTTTGCGGCTAATTGAGGCCTCGTCGAAGGCTCTAGGTGTTCAACCGAGGTGCTCGGGGTGGGTCTGACAGTCAACCCGTCGAGAATGACTGGTGTGCTTGGACTGTTTGGTTTGACATAACTCTGCCTTTGTGGGGTTAAGCCTTCATCGGTTCAATAAATAGATCGTTGATGGCTCCAGGATGCGCAAATAGAGCGGTTGGAGGAAGAAATAACTGAGGTCTGGGCATGTGATGTTACTCTTCGTGATGTTATCATCTGTTTTATTTTTCTCATTTTTCTTATATTTTTGATTGAACAAATGTACCATAAAATTGTTAGGTTCTTCATTATCGTTCCAATAAGTTTTCCATCACGATCATCACAATTCTCTTATTCATTTACTAGTATGATCTAGTCATGAGAATATTGGGTTTTTCTCTTATTCATTTACTAGTATGATCTAGTCATGAAAATATAATTGTCAAGAATATTGGGTTTTTTATCAATTATATTTTTTATTATTTATTCTAGTTAAATAGACACCTTATATTAATTAGCTACATGGCTGTATCCCTAAATGGTATACCTTTTTCCCCTCTCATAAATAACGATTTGGCACTTCCAAGATAACATAAATGTCAATGTCAAAGTATGTGATATTCTCTATTATCACATACCATATGTTGGAGCCTTAATAGTTGACCTTGATTTTGGCTAAATCTTGGTTGTACCATGCATACCAAAATGATTCTATGACCTTGGATGACAAAGAAACCTCATAATTAACTATAATGTATTCCAGAGATCTCTTAATAATGGTTTTGATTTTAAATTGGACCTACCCATAGAATATACTTAGTGATGTATCCATCGTAGGTTGCACTGCTTAGAGGCATTATATCATGGTGGCTTAACTTTAGTCCCAATCAAGTTAGGTTTTAACGCAACCTAAGTTTAATTTGACATAGTTAATAATAACTGTCTCAAGAAAGAAAACTTAAATCAATCATTAGAAGCTTGTATGCCAAACTTAAGCTTAATAATTTATGGATTAGCTAAAGACCTCTTTTTAGGGTACTAAATAAATCACATAACTGATAAAACTTTAGCAACTAATGGTTTTATCAGTGATTGAAGGTCATATTGTTGCTATTTGGTCATTTATAGATTTTATGAGTAAATTTGACTGACGAATCCCTAAAAAATAATGATCACTTCCTTTGTTTTGAACTAATGACATTATTTTCTTTGTCATTAATCTATGTATCTACTCTAGGCTATCGAATTCTTTTTCTTAACTTTTAAGTTAAGTTTAAGATCAACTTCATCATTGAGCTCATCTTCTTAACCTTTAGTTGATAGAATTTCATTTATGCATGTAGTTACTAAAATCATTTTTTAGCCTTTAACTGTCAACATCAGTTCTTTTTCATTTGTCAACTTGGATAGTTTAAGGTCACTTTAATCGCTATTGGCTTACTTCTTCTCACATGCCCCTAGGGGATATATATAAAACCTTTAAATCTATATTTCTTAATATCAGTGAGCTTACAAAAGGTTTTAGGAAACTAGCTGTATTTTATGCTCATCAAATAAACCCACGATGAGACCTTTCTTTTTCAATTAAACATTGAAAAGCGTAACATGGGTTTTGCAAGAAAGTAAAAAACAACCAACAACTTAAATGTTCATCTTATCACTAGCAACATTAACACTGTCTATATGCGTGAGCATTGAAACCATTATCTTATTTGACCTATAAATACCCCCATTTCAAATCCTTGAGGCTTGATTGGTGGAAAGTATGAAAAAAATCATTAGCTAGTTTAAATCTTTAGAGCTATCACCCTAAACCCTAAACAATAAGATATAACTTCTTAGGCATAGCTCCTATGGATATACTAACCAAATTCTTGAGAAACCATTTACTCTACTCTAAGTGCTCCACAATAAGTAATATATCCCAATCCCCCTTTTTAGTCCTCATTTTTATCTCATCAAGATTTCCCTTGGTCATTGCCAGGGTAGATTCAGAACAACCCTTGTCTAATCATGTCTAGACTATATAACCATGGAAGAGGTGGTGAATATTTATGTATACAATAATAGGCTCATAAGTATTGTGACTTTAATTATACTTTCTTCCTTTGACTAAAAGTTTCCTAATGATATGCGTCAAATGAGTAATGGATCAAATTCATTATTTATATTGAGTTTTTTTTAGCGTGAAAAATTGCTTCGAGAAAAAGAAGCCACCGTCTCATGAAAGCAACATAAGGTGGATCGTCGTTCACAATAAGGTGATATCCACAACTCATCCAATAAGGCAATTTAATTTGATCTCCATCAATTAGACAGTCCCCATCTTGTTAACTTCATTTTCATTAGCTAATGGCATTGTAGGGTTTGATTATACATTTCTCAACTTATTGGGAGCCGTTCTCGATCTTCATCTATGCTTGTGAAGTTCTCGAGCGAAACAATCTTAAATTGTTGCCTAGGTGCCCATTATACTTCTGTCTTTGTTCAATCCTTTCTCAACTTATTGGGAGCCGTTCTCGATCTTCATTTATGCTTGTGAATTTCTCGAGCGAAACAATCTTAAATTGTTGCCTTGGTGCCCGTTATACTTCTGTATTTGTTCAATCTATTGAGAATAGAATTAATGAAACATATAAGAATTTTGAATTGATTTTTTGTACACCTAATCAATCTCAAATTGGTGTGCCTTTTTACTTAAAATTATGGTTTTGGATTTTTTTTTCTCCTAATTTTGATCTTGAATGTTGGCACTTAAATTGCAACACCCCAGCAATAAACTTTAAAATAAATTTGAAAAGGACACTCCCAACTATTCTTTATGTTGATTATGGTTCATTATCACATAGCTAAATTTTGGTTGGTTCTCACCTCTCTTCTTGGAGCAAACATTACATCTTGTTTCTGGACGTAATTTACGTCTGGGGTCTGATGGTGGGGCGACAAGTGTCAAATGAGCCCACCGCATTAGACTAAGATTGGTCAGTGCTAAAATTTGTGAGGCTCATTTGACATGTGACGCCTTTCCCTAAGAAAGCAAGGCCCACAGCATCCGGCGGGCCTCACGGGAAGTGGGGCCCCATCACCCCAGTTATGGCCATAGCCCAGCCCCATTTACATTTCAGTGCACCCACTCCTGCGGGCCCACTTTATTTTCTTGGAACAAAAAATTATCCCTTTACACAATTTCATTATTTTTGGTAAAGTAAAACAAATAACTAAAATAATGTGAAAGAGTATAGATTTATATGGAAGGCCTCTAAGAGTGGTCATAATATTGAATATTCCTATTAGTTATAAGAGCTTAGCTCTATTTATACCTCTTTGTGATCTTCTTAATAATTTACATTCTAATAACAAAATATTTTCGTGTTACCCAATTCTTGAAAATAAAATAGGGATAATTGCATTCGTAGCACCCGAAACATTGATATTTGCAAAATCTAGCACCTGCCCTGCTGACATATTTACACGTGCCACGATCAAATCATTGAAAATTCGATAAAAATGAAAACTATGGATTGGGGGTATTATCGTGAATTTTGATATTTGAAAAATGAATGAAAATTTATCAACTAGAGAATTGTATGTAAACAGTTCTTTTGGTAGGGATTTGCATACGTGGCAAACAAATTTTATGTGTTTACATAATTTATACCTAAACTTTCGTATTTACATCTATAACACTCAAAACATTTAGTTCACAAGCAAATATAAATTTTCATGCACATGTTTATGACATCGAAGCACTATAAATATACATATCAAATATTTGGTGTTAGATATGTAAATACATAAGAATTGTATGTTATGTTTGTAAATTTGCCTTTTTTTTTTAAGAAATTTGCATGCATACCACATAATTGTTATGTATTTACATATCTAACAACTAAACTACTATATTTGCATGTAAATCACATAAGTTTTTAACATAGATCAAAATACCGCTATGACTATCATTTTAAAAACGAAACACATTTTCATGCATAGGCTTATACATCAAAGTGTTATAAGTGTAAATATTAAACTTTGGGTGTTAAACATACCGAATTAATATGTTTTGTCTTAATTCTGACATGTATATTCACGTAGGATCTATTTAATTAAGATTCATCACTCAGCTTAAGATGGCTAATCTTTCTTTTTACTTCCCTATTTTTCTCCAGTTATTTTTAGCAGCTTATATCAACTTATATTTCTAGCTAAAAAAACGACTTTTTTGAATTTGCGTCTCGACTTTTAGAAGCTCAAGCAAGCCAACTGAGGAATTGTGTGACAACGCTGATTTCAATAATTTGAAAATGCAGCTTTTTGAATAAGCTGCCAAAATGCAGTTTATCCAAACAGTTCTGGGTGCGTATTCAACACGCACCGCACCAAAGCTGTTCCAAACGGACCCTTAGTCTGTTGATTGCAATTTAACTTCTAGCCAAAATATCATAATTTCAAGATCTTGCACATGCGTTTGTAAATTTGCTAATATGGTCAACTTATTTTAACTTGAACAGGTAGACAACCAAAGTGACAAAGCAATATAGATTATACTTTTGAGGATTATAAATTACTTTTTTTCAAGATTATACTAAAATAATTAATCTAAACTTCAATTTACATGGATATTTTTCTTGATAAAATAGTTATTTTATGTTTCTTAGATCCAGAAACCTGGAGGCTCAAGTCCTCTTCCCACTGTATGAAATGACCACCTGCATGAAAGAGACTGAGGAAATTATTTGCAAATAAATATATTTTATTATTTAAAGGTTTAACATGTATGTGAGACTTTGCCATATGATTTCTTCTCCTAGACAAAATTGAGTGGTTTATCATATTTTTCAGTTGTCTATCCTTTATATATATATA